CTATTTCAAGACATGGTTTCTCCATGTAGATTTGAAGTCTATTCTGTAAATCCCTTTGTAAACTAGGCGGGCCTAAATTCACAGAGATTTGCCTGCTTCTGTCTCCAGAGCACTGGATTAAAAGCATGAGCTACCAGTGCCCCATTGATAGTTAAGACTCTAAGCACAGAGCTCTGAGTGTGTGAGTTCTGGTTCCTGGGGATAATTTGCTAGGCAGGGAGATTGTGATATCACAGTGGGAAATAGCTTGCAAGGAGTAGAACCCCATGCAAATGCCAAATGTGTGCTTTTCAGAATCAATGATATGGGTGGCATGTGGCTTTCTCCTCTTTTCCTGAGTTCAAATGTGTTCTCTTTACTTTGCCCAACTCTTGCTTCACAGTGACATAAGCCTCAGTAGCAGGTTGTCAGCCCTGTTCTGAGAGTGATGCAGGACATTTCTCCCATCCTGGACAATATAGTCTAGGGTTGATTGGGTGACCAGCTGGGAGCTTTTGACATGCTTGTAGTAGAAGGTGGGAGATTTTGGCCTTCAGGGAAAAAAATCTCTAAATATCTCAACATAATCAAGCCAAGAAAATCATCAATTTTCCACATTAACATTAGGGCCAATGGAACAATGTCTGAGTTGTGAGAGTATTCTAAAAGTGTTGGTATGGTTTGTCTATACTCAACAGCTCATCTGCCATGATATTTCTGTGTGCTAGATCCCCTTTTCCCTATCTCTTTGTCCTTTCTCTCTCTCCTTATGTGTCTGTGTGCATATTTGTGTGTGTGTGTTTGTTCAAGAGAGAGACAGAGAGAAAGACAGAGAGAGAGAGAGTATATCCTTGTGCAGTCAAAGCATGTGTGGTGGTACATCATACATACGTGCTTTGGTCTGAGGAGACCACTGGCTTTCATGTCAGTCTCTACCTTGAATCAGGGTTTCTTACTACCCTGGATGCTGACTCTTTTACTAGCCATTTTGACCACCAAGCTATTGAGATCCTTTGTTTGCCTTGCCATTTGTATGACAGTGTGTAACCCGCCTAAGAACATATCTTCTAATGAACAGGAACTCAAGAGATTGGAGGAAAGACTTAAGGTCCTACTGAAGCAAAAGGAGATGGTCATTCAGACAAAGGATTTGGCAGAAAACCTGCAGCATCACTTTGATGTCTCCCACAAGAGGTAAGAGCCCAGCCTGGGGGCAATAGATAAAGTCAAGTGTGTCCCCTGGACCTGGGATCTGTGTCATCTATGTGCTTCCTCTCACATGTGTGGGTCTCAGCCAGAAGCAGGGAAAGACAACCTCAGAGAAATGTGCTAGTCCATTCAACAAGAACATGCATCCAGCAAACAATATGTTTGATATTAGTGTGCTATAGAATTGAGTTTCCCTTCCTGCATTTGACCTCTGTAATATCTGAACAGGAGTTTCTTGAACTGAGCAGAGATTTGATTTCCTTGGCCTCCCAAGTGATGGGATTTGAGGGTGTGCACCACCAGACCTGATTAAAATTGTAAA